ATCTAGTCCACACTCCTCAAGATCTTCTTTGTAGAAAATCAGATTTCCTTTCTGCAGCTGTTTAAACGCCAGTTTCCCAAGCTTCAGAACAATCTGATCAGAAGATTTGGCTTTGAGCTTAGGTTCAGGATCATCACAGTATTTTGTCTCCATCTGATGCTTCTGAAAGAGTAAGAAGTTTGTGTACATCCCTGTGAGAGTTGTAGGTGTTTTGTCATTGCTCTCTCGAGCCAGCAGAGGCTGAAGAACAGTGAGAGAGATCCAGCAGAAGACGGGGATGTGGCACATGATGTACAGACTCCTGGATTTCCTGATGTGACGGATGATGCTTCCAGCAACCTCAGGACTGTTGTTTTTGATGAAGTATTGCTCTTTTTGCTCATCATTGAATCCTCGCACCTCTGTCACCTGATCAATGTAGTCTCGGGGTATCAGGCTGGCTGCTGCTGGTCTGGATGTGATCCAGGTGAGAGCAGAGGGAAGCAGATGTGTCTCAATCAGGTTTGTAACTATCTTACTCACTGTTGTTTTTTTATGCACATCTGTTAAACTGTCGCCCTGTTTAAAGTTCAAAGGGAAGTGACATTCATCCAGCCCATCAAAAATAAACATGACCTTACCGTCATCTTCAGGAAGAGAGGGCAGATCTTCAGGACCACTAAAGAAGCATTTGTTAAGCAGTTCTATGAGACTGTACTTGTTTATAATCAAATTAAGTCTACGGAATGGGAGTGGGAATATAAAGAGTATATCTTGATTTTCTTTTCCTTCAGCCCAGTCAAGAATGAATTTATTAACAGAAATGGTTTTTCCTACCCCTGCGATTCCCATTGTCAGAACTTTTCTGTTTTGTCGACCCTTATGGACTTTGAATATGTCACTGCACTGGATCTGCATGTCCTTGGCAAAAAATCGGTTGTGATTCAGTTCGATCTGTCTCACCTCATGTTCCTTTACTATACCTCCGGTCTCATTCTCCACCACATATAGATCAGAGTATATATCATTCATGTATTCCCGATGACCCGTCTGAGAATTACCAACCAATATCCGTTTGTAGTCCTGTTGTAATTTGTTCTTCAGTTTGAGGATGATTTTTCTGTAATCATGATCATCCCTGTGAGAAATCAAATCAGCTTTATTGTCCTCTGCATTTGAACCTTTGAGAAAGAAGAAAAGATGACAATAAGTATGCAGTTTTTTAAAAACAGTTTATATGTAAATTTGATCCTGGCACAATAACTTGCAATGTCATGGAAATGCCATGGCTTATGCAGAGTCAAATGCTTGGTTTAAATTTAGTTTTGTTTTTTTTTACCTACTTTTTCTAATTCCTCCTTGGGCCTTTGCCCAATTTTGCTTTAAGAAATAAAATGAGCCTTTGAATGTTTTGATGAAATATTTTATTTATCCTATAGAAAACAATCATAGAATCATCAGTGGCATAAGCGTTCATATTTCCCTCAGCCTGAACTGTTAGAGAGATTAAACAAAATGCATGACATAAATCACACAAACACATCAGCTGAGAAAAGAGTACAATTTAAGCTGAAAGACAACATTTTACTTCAACCATCTCACTTTTAAACAGTTAATATATTAAACAAAAGAGAATACATTTAAATGTAATTAATGTCATTTTAATGTTACCTTCTTTATATTCATTCTCTAAGTGCTCAGCCAGAAGGTTCTGCTTAATTTTTCTCAGGATGTCCACCGTGATCTTCACAGCTTCTTCTGGTCCAAAATGTGCCACCGTTTTATCCACTGTGTCTAAGACATCTGCATTCTCCATCTCAGAATTTGACACATGACAATGATTCTTTAAGTACCACTGAAACTGCTTAAGATCATCTTTTACTAGATCCTTCAGTGAGTTCACGAGCAGCTCTTTGACAGACACCATCATCCATTAATGACTCACTGCTGCAGGACAAGAAAAAGATCTTAGTATTTTTCACTCCTAACATGTCTAAGTGCTCAAATGTTAGGGACTGTGATGTGATTAAACTCTGAATTTCAAAGTCTTATTTTTTTTCTGATACTGAAAGTCTCTAATTAATGTAAACTAATGCATGGCACTTTTAAATCTATACAAGTATGTTTTTCATGAAGTTGTAATTTATTAACTTACCTTGAATAATGAGGATGTAGTTGTTTCTTGTTCCTCGTCTGAACTGTTGCCTCTTTGAGCAGAAGCTCACTTCTACATTTTCACACAATGGGAGGGATTTTTGTCAGAATGGTAACCAGTAAAAGCAGAACCATTTCAGAAAATAAATAAATAAATAAATGCATGCATGAATGAATGAAACCTTTTTCGCCAGAGACTCCATATATGAGAGTGAAAATTTGTGGAACTGAGAATAAATCTTAAAAACAAACACACACCTTATCTGATATATAAATCAGTACCTTGAGAAATTACAGGTAAAACGAGACAGACAGCAATGAGACATACATATGAAGACAGACAGACAGACAGAACCAGAAGAAAGACACTCTGGTTTGAATGGATGATGCTAGATGATGGTCGGTTAAATCTGGATTTAAACAGCAGGTATGACAGCTAAGGATGCACATTTTAGTCAGTTTGGTTAATAATTTGAGTACTCTGGGGGTGTTGCTGACCAACACAATTCAGAAATCCTGTCTTTTTGCTCTGTCTGCAGATTACCGTAAGAATCAAAATAGCAAACACAATTTTCATTGCAGATGCAGAGTAGCATTTTGAATGTGCTGTGTTGATTTGCATTTTTAAAGCCTGTCTCAAGATACAACATTCGGTTCCTTTCATTTGCACCCCATCTGACTTACGCTGTCCGTAGAGTTAATGTGACCTCTGTTTCTTGCTGAATGTTGAACAGGTATGTCTTGTCTTGTGTCCCAGCAATCCAGGAGTTTTCAAACTCTTTCTGGAGCACATTATACATGTCTCTGTTATTGGACACACTGAGCTCAGGTCATGTTCAGGAAGAGTTTGGAAACCTGCAGCAGGCGAAAGCGTGACGTTAACAAACTCTCCATAGAAACGACACGCCCACGTCTGCGTCTGCTTCAGTGTTTGTCAGATAGTGAGCGTGTCTTTCAGCTTATCTGTGCTTCTACCGCAGCAAACAAACCCAGGGTTTAGATATATATGACGGTTTTCAGACAGGTATGATCTCATTTTCTATTCCACTTGTGAAAGAAATATTTGGGTTACACATATATAGTATAAACATTACTTTGCATTACTGTTTGTGGAAGCTACCAACATTTTTTAATTGATGGTATTTCAAACAAGACTATTTATGACACTATAGCTCTACTTCGAACAAGGAAGAAGGAAGAGAAAATGAATGAAGCAGAAGCAGAATAATAATCATTTGAATATTGGGTAACACTTTCTATGAAGCTTACAAGAGTATTTTTAAGGCATTATAATGAATGCATAATGTATTATATACAAAAAACCTTATAATATGATTAATCATAATGCATTATAATATTTACTTGGTTACAGCTTTTAAGAGTATGATGATTTATAATACACAATGATCACTTAACTTACAATGGATTATATTTCCCATAGTTATAATTAATAAAAAGTTTCATATCCTGGCACTGTTAACTTGTTATTTTACTTAAAACAGACAAAGACCAGTTATAAATAACAACAACAACAACAATGATAAATAAATATAATATTTTTTAAACAGCCATAAGATCAGATATCTGATCAGATGAATGTGT